GAAAAAAGAAATAAAGAAAAAGGAAAAGAAGACTCCCTATCCTCCTTAGCGAGGGTAAGTGGCATCAATGAGCCTGATTTGTGCCTCCACAAGCTGTTGCTTGGGTCCCTCATAAAAAGGCTTAAGGCAATGTCCATCCACATGTGAAGATCCTCTCAGACTGCTTATTACACCACTCCTTATGATTAATTTTTTGCATAATTGAAACAAAAGGAGGAAAAGGGTGAAGAATGATAGAGAACGATGCAAACTCCCCGACAACGGCGCGATTATATATATATATATATATATATATATATATATATATATATATATATATATATATTTTGAGAAAAAATACAAAAATTATATTAATTTCAAAACTGTAAAATTAAAGAGAACGATGCAAACTCCCCGGCAACGGTGCCACTTTTTATTTTATTTTATTTTTTATTTTATTTTTTTGAGAAAAAAGACAGAAATTATATTAATTTCAAAACTGTAAAATTCAAATTATAACGAAAGATCATCCACAAAGTCCCTATTCCCGCTCTTTTAACCTCTAGTCAAGCTGGGCTTCAGGCTCTAAAAATCCAATCCAAAATAAAAGGAAACAAAATAGAAATACTAGCTCTGGGCCTCATGTACTTAGGGTTCAAAATTACAACTTAAGTCCATTTTTAAATAAATTTCCAGCAAAATACATTCCATCTTGGGCTCAGGTTTCGACCATCTTCCCGTCTGAAATGGACTTCAGTGGTTGGAATAACGATTGTAGCCCTTTCTATTAGATGCAAAATGCAACCAGAAAGGGCTACAATCGCTATTTCAGCCACTGAAGCCCAATTTGAACGAGAAGATAGTCGAATCCTGAGCCCAAGATGGACATGTTTTGCTGGAAATTTATTTTGACGTTTGGACTTAAGTTATAATATTGAACCCAATGTACATGAGGCCCATAGCCATTATTTATGTTTTGTTTCCTTTTATTTTGGGTTGGATTCGTAGAGCCTGAAGCCCAACTTGATTAGGGGTTAAAAGGGCGAGAGTAGGGACCTTGTGGATCATCTTTCGTTTGAATTGGGCTTCAGTTGCTGAAATAGCGATTATAGCCCTTTCCGTTAGCTGCAAAACACAACAAGAACAGAGTCAATCGGACATCTGTAGAGTGAGATATGGCCAAAATACGAAAGAAGTGTAAATCTGGAAAATTAAAACGAAAATCAATTAAACCCAATTAAAATCTAGAATTCTAATTTGACCCAAAAGACCTTTATTTAACTCAAATAAATCCTAAAAATATTAACCAAGAGTAATAAATAAGTGTAACAAAATATGTGTTATCAAAGATAATGAAAAGATAAAAGATGTGTTTATTTCTGTCTTTTCATTATCTTTGTTTTATTTTCTTAGTGTAGTTCTTAACTTTTGCTCTTATAGATTTATGAGGTGTTTAACATTCTTTTCCATTTTTCATCCATACTTTCACCTTAGCCCTATTACAACCCTGCATAAAGTCCTCTTGATTTGTGCATGCATGTGTTAGTAGCAGTGGAGAAGTAGAACTTGAGCAAGCCTATGGTAGAATGATTTTCTTGAGTAGATTTGAGTGATACACTGATTACCTGATACACTAAAGAGAAAACAATTGAGAGCATCCTGTAAGGAAACATTTTCTGTAATTGGCAAGTGCAATTGAAATTAGCAGGTCTTGTGATTTGATATTAGGGAATTTCTGTCCTGATTGGTTTATCTGTTGAAGACTTGTGATCTTTGTGTATTTTTTGTAAGATAGGTAATTGTTAGAAAGGATTGGTTGATCTTAGTTTTTGCTTTCTGTTTTAGTTTTTGCCCAGGAGTGCAAAAAGATAAGTGTGAGGGAATTTGATAACGCATATTTTGTTACAGTTATTTATTACTCATGATTAATATTTTTAGAATTTATTAGAGTTAGATAAAGGTCTTTTGGATCAAATTAGAATTCTATATTTTAATTGGGTTTAATAGATTTTCGTCATAATTTTCCAAATTTACACTACTTTCGTATTTTGGCCATATCTCTACAAATGTCCGATTGACTTCATTCTTATTGCGTTTTACAGCTAACGGAAAGGGCTACAATCTATTTTTCAGTCACTGAAGCCCAATTCGGACAGAAAGATGGTTGAAACCTAAGCCCAAGATGGACGTGTTTTGCTGGAAATTTATTTTGACGTTTTGGACTTAAGTTATAATTTTGAACCCAATGTACATGAGGCCCAGAACCATTATTTCTGTTTTATTTCCTTTTATTTTGGGTTATATTTGTAGAGCCCGAAGCCCAGCTTGATTAGGGGTTAAAAGGGCGAGAGTAAGGACCTTGTGGATCATCTTTCGTTGGAATTTGAATTTTACAGTTTTGAAATTAATATAATTTTCGTCTTTTTTCTCTCCTTTTTCTTTAATCAACCTAAGGTTTAAGGATTCCATGGTTGAACCATGAGGACCTGCGCCTCATTTTGAACCCAATTCCTTTCTCTTTCCAACTTGGTTTGACATCGCGCGATTGTGGGTGTTCAAACTGAGATACGCGATTGCGTTCTTGGGAAAGAGATTAACCATTAGATTTAATGGTTAGGTTGATTAACCTAATGAACTCAAGTCGAACAGGTAGGTAATCCGTGATTGCGCGAGTAGACACGCCGTATTCGACCAAACGCTAGGCGATCGTCTAAAGAGGGATTCCTAAACGAATGCAGGGTTCCAATTCGTTTAGGGTCAACCATTATTTAGTAATTATTTGTTGAATGATGTATTTCCTTGGAATCCCAGTTCTTGGGTTCCCAATTCATCAAAAGATAGACCCAAGGCCTTTAAAATGGGTCCACATTAACCCTATTATAATATGCTATTCTTTGATGACTATTTGAAGAAAACTCTTTCTCACAATATTTTAAAAGCCAAACCAAAAGCATGATTATACCTAACAAGTCTTTATCTTTTACCCTAATCTAAGGGTATATTGGATTAGGATTTTAAAAGATTTTTTTGAGATAAAAAATCTTACAGATTTTAAAAGACTATTTATGATTGGAGGAACTTTAAAGACATTTTTAAAAGACTTTTTTTTACAATCATGATTTCGTAAGATTGGATTTTAAATGATTTTAATAGAATTTATAAGATTTGAAAAGATAATATGGATTTATAAAATTTTAAAAAACCATGTGAATTTTTAACAAACATTTAACATTACAAGATTACTAAGCAATAAAACATAATAAAAATTTTCTCAACCAATAAAACATAATATAATTTTTAACAAACATTCAAAATTACTAAGCAACAACTCTCCATATATCTAAAGCTATACTAGTCCTCCACGTATTAGCATTTTGTCGTTCATGCTCTTGGGTTTGACCAATAGGTGGTTGAAAATTATCTTCTTCATTTGGTATTAGAGCTATGCATATATGATTATAAGACCCATTTTTTTTTTAATTATTAAAATAATTCTAAATTTGCATATAGAACCTAAAGTTCATGATAAATTTTCATTTGGAATTTTTTGCAATTGATCTTGGAAACCTTGGGATTTTTATTCTACGTGATGAGAGTTTTCTAACCATATATCATATGCACATTTTCATTAAGTATTCTAAGAAAATTTTGAATCTAAATTTCTAGATTTTATTACATGAAAGTTTAAAAAATTTCTCAAATTATTTTCAATTGATAACATGAAATCTTGAATTGCTATGGGGCTTTTTAAAAAAGAGTTTTTAGTTATCGATTGACACCAAAATTGTTTGAAATCCCTTCCTATAGCGAAGAAATTTCGTTCATGAATGTATTGTTACAAAATATAGGGGTTCATATTGTGAAAGTTTCAATCTTTCTTTAAATTGATATTGTTTCGTTGAAGTAAAACGAAAATTGATTTGAGGGTTTTAGTCCCTGTATTATTTTCCCACTGTTTTATGTTGTTTTTAATACAAAAATCAAACCTTTTGTGCCAAGAAAAACTACGACCTATAGCTTGAAAAAATATTTTTTAAACTTCCAAAAGATCTCAAAAATGGCTAAAAAATATGATGTTTTTGAGATAGATTATATTAAAATCTCGTTGGTTTGTTGTTTCTAGGACGTTTATGATAAAAATCGCTTAAAAATCTGATGTTTGACGAAGCTCCCATGACGGAACCAGATTTTGAGCGGATCAACCTGCTAAAGTAAGTAAAAAACACTGCAATAGAGAAATCTCAAGAAATCCTAGGGGTTAGGGTGAGGTTGTGAGGGAGGCATCCTATTTACATTTCTCACTAAAAAGTCACACGAAATCAACACTAACAGAAAATCCATTAAAATCGTTACATTTCTGAATGGGAAAAAAGTTTCTGATGTTACTTTAGACAACTTCGTCTAATGTTCATCGAAACGACGTCATTTAGAGGTTGAAAAATTAAAAAATTAAGAATGATAAAGACTATTCTAACCCTGAAATAAATTAAAATTACAAAAACACCATGACTTCTGTCCCAAAACGACGTCGTTTCGATGAACATTAGATAAAGTTATCTAAAGTAACTTTAGAAAAACAAACCCTTTCTGAATACCACAAGATTATTTTTTCAATTTTTAAAATCTTGATTGAATACCAACAGATTTGGACGGACTCTAAAATAATATTTTACAATCCTAATCGAATATCGCATGACTTTTTTTCAATCCTTTAAAATCCTAATTGAATACAAACGAATTGTTTTGTCCAAAAATAATCCATTAAAATCCTTTGAAATCCCAATCCAATACCCCGTGTGTTCTAGTTTTTTGTCTCCTTTATTTTATTCTTACGTTGTACTTGGTCTCTTCGAAACTTTTAACTTTATTCTTCTTGATCAATCGTAAATGTTCACAAGGAGACGATTGGTAAGTGTATAAATATACTCTCTTTTTTAATGTTTCTATTATATTATACTCGGAAAATAAGGTGGTGACATAGTGACAACATGTCCCATTCCGAAACAAGTAGGTCAATAAAAATGACAAATGAGGACAGGTTGAAAGATGCTGCTATTTCAGGAGATATAAATTCTCTCTACACACTAATTCAGGAGAATCCACGAGTTTTGGAGCATTTCGATGATGTACCATTTGTTGACACTCCTTTGCATTTTGCTGCATCTGCTGGGCATCTCCCATTTGCTGCAGAGATTATGAGATTGAAGCCTTCATTTGCACGGAAGCTAAATCAAGAAGGATTCAGCCCCATCCACCTTGCTTTACAACACGGCCAGTACAGAATGGTGCTTAGCTTTGTAAAAATGGACAAAAACCTCGTTCGAGTCAAAGGGAAGGAAGGCATAACTCCTCTGCATTTTGTAACTCAAATTGGAGAAACTGACCTTTTGGGTGAATTCCTCAATGCTTGTCCAGATTCCATTGAAGATGTGACAGTACGAGGTGAGACTGCACTGCATATTGCTGGAAAACATAAACAGAATGAGGCTGTTGAAAAGCTGGTTCTCTGGCTTACGCAAAAAAAACAAAAAGGTGCTGCGGCGTTGGAAAACAAAATGCTGAACTGGGGAGATGAGGCTGGCAACACCATTTTGCACATTTCAGCATACATCAATGACTTAAGGGGGCGTTTGGTTGAGGAAATTTTTTTGAAATAGTAGGAAAATGTAATAGATAGAGAAATGATTGGAAAGATAGATAAAATGCGATAGGTAGAAAAATGTAAAAAAAAGTTGTTTGGTGAGAAAAAAATTTACTGGGAAAATTAGGTAACTTTATGAAATCAACACTGCATTAAAAGCCAGATAACCAGTTTTCCGAAAAATCCCACCTTCAAATTGGGTTTCTAAACAGTGCGAATATCTATGTTTCTCATAAATCCAGACAAATTGGATAGATGGGTTTTTGGTGAAAAACGTTGAAACAAACATGGTATTTCTAAAAGCCATACTTGAGAAAGATAGATATCCACTGAAAAGCTCCCAACCAAACACCACCTAAAGGTATCCTTTAAGATATATTTAGAATTTAGTGTTGGCTGAACAAATATTAAGTTAACAATCAGCAAGGGCCCACTTGGATGGACCTTTTCTTGTCCAAAAACTTATTTGTTTAAGAAAATTATTTTAATTTAGGGTTTATTTTTTCTACAATGTCGATAATTTATATATAATGAGCCCAAAATGATGTCGTTTTAACTTTTAAGGCAAAAAAAATGTATTTTTATAATTATAATTTATTTCAGGGTTATAATAATTTATTTCATTATAATTTTTTTATATTTTAACTCAAAATGACATCATTTTGAGAACGAATGTAGATAACTTATGTAGAAACATTAAAGCCTTTAATTTATGGGTAAACAACTTCTACTTTCACAGGAGAAGTTTTTATTTGCAGCCGAGAGAATTTTTTGGTGGGATCTATTGGTTGTTTTGAAAAAAACAAAACAAAAAACATATCATATATTTCAAGGGTTTGTTTTTTCTAAAATTACTTTAGATAACTTTATCTAATGTTCATTGAAACGACGTCGTTTTGGGACGAAAATCATAGTGTTTTTGTAATTTTAATTTATTTCAGGGTTATAATAGTCTTTATCATTCCAATTTTTTAATTTTTCAACCTCAAAACGACGTCGTTTCGATGAACATTAGACAAAATTGTCTAAAGTAACATCAGAAAACTTTTTTCCCATATTTCAATGCTTGTGTAATGTGAGTGCTGCACCAAAAAAACTTCTGTCTAAAAGGAGAAGTTGTTTACCCTTAATTTATTATGTGTTTAAGTGTCAACTACAAAAACAGCAGTACGCCAAACAAAAAGGTCAAAACATTACTTTTTATTTAAAAATAAGTTTCAGGCACTGCATCTAAACACAGAATAGTTCTTACTTTCAAAAATGTCATCCTAAAAGAAGCAATACATTAAAAAAATAATTTTTCAAAAATCCAACCAAATGAGCCCTGAATAATGCGTAGGTAGCAATTTGAAATATGAAAAATTTGTTGCTATGTATATAAAAATAAAATATGTTGCTAAAATGACTAATTAATTAAAATGAGATGACGTTTTCTTGTTAATTGATATAGGTGGAAAAAGTTTTACTACTGGATTAAACTAATTTTTTCATTAATTCCTTGATTGCACAGGCAGTTCAATTGTTGATACACAGTAAAATTGATTTAAATGCCAAGAATTTGGAGATGTGCACAGCAATAGACATAGCAGCCACAGAAGAGATCAAGAGTATATTGAAACCATCCCCCCATTTACATAAACTATTAAGATTGCCTTCGGAATTTTTGCCTTATCAAAATATTCGTAAAGTTCGCCAGAGAATGGATATATCAGAGGATATACGCAATGCTTTGTTGGTAGTTGTTACTGTTGTTGCAACTGCCACTTATCAAGCAGCACTGAGTCCTCCTGGTGGACTTTATCAGGCTAACAAAGGCACTAATAATGATATGAGTCATTTGAAGACCTATAATACTTCCATGAATTGGAAACCTAATATTGGAATTGGAGGGAACTCAATCATGCAAAAAACGGACTTCATTTTGTTTTCCACTACTAATATGCTCTGCTTTATGTCATCAACTTTCGCAATTATATTTCTAATCCCAACGGAGGTGGTATGGGCTCCACTGGTTAATGTAGCGGTTCTACTCCTTCAAATGAGCTACACCTTATCTATGATGGTGATATCATCCACCCCTTTTACCACTAATCTCGTTTCTTTGCTTGAATTTTTTTGTTGGATTATCTTTTTGACTTTTCATTTTATTTAATGCTATCTTTTCCTAAAGGATCTTTACAAAAAAATAAAAGCTTGTTATATTTGGATGAGTTACTTGCTATATACTTTTTTGTTTTACTATTGTTTGAATGTGAAAATGTAATGTTTTGAGTGATGTTGAAGAGTGGATTTTGATGTATTACTTGTTACATAATTTTTAGTTTACTATTGTTTGAGTGTAAAAATGTAATGCTATGAATGATGTTGAAGAGTGGATTTGGATGTTTTATTTGCTACATTACATAGTTTTTAGTTTTAATATTGTTTGAATGTAAAAAAGTAATGTTACGGATGATATTGAAGAGTGCGTGTTTGAGGGTTATAAAAATTACACAGTTATTTTTTTATTTTTTTATACAGACAAAGTCAAAAGAATCTTATAAAGTAATTACAATGGATGTTAAAAAAATATTATTTTTTTATATTTTATTAGAAATATTATTCATATCTTATTATCCGGATTTAATAAATTCTGGAAGAAATTACTAATTTCATGCATTCTTGGAGGAAAGTGCAAAATGATTTTGCTAGGCCACTATTCATGCGAAATTTTATGGTATATGATCTGGATGAGGACCTTGGTACATTCCCTCTGTGTCTATATGATTTAATTTTTTTTATATTAACCCTAATTACCTCTTTGAAGTGAGTAGGATCTTTCAGATTCCCATGATTTTGACTCTTTAAATCGATTATGGAATTAATCTTGAGTTCGAATCGTATCTAGAATTAATATTTTAAACCCCTCTGCAAGATGGCATTAGTGGAGATCAAACCGAAATCCTTCCACCACCACTCAACTCCGATGCACCAAATGAGCTACTATTATGGTATTTTTCACATTAAAAATTATCTCCCCACACTAACATCACGGACAACATCATCGCATCATGAGGAATGTGCTGGCTCACACGCACGAAGGGGGCCCATAGGGGCAACAATTTTGGCATCACACTTGCGTTGGGGAGTCATCTACCTCTATAAATACTCCATTTTCACTCAAAGGGAATCATTTATGCTCTTGCGCCATTGCTACTAAGACTACATAATCATTCGCGTGAACTAAGCCCCTCCAAAGCACATATTCTTGTGAAACCGATGCACTTAAAATGAAGAATCTAAAGAAACAAGGATTTTGATGATAACAAATAAGCATGGAAAGAAGACTTCAAGCATTACAACTTGCAAAAATAAAAAAAGAAGTCTAAAAGATCAACCAACCAATGTGAAGTCCATAAAACAATGGACAAAGTTTAAAGAAGATCAAGACTCAAGCTACAAGAGAAGAAACTAAGTTCAAAGAGTCCACAAGTAATATACTTTAAGACTTAGAATTAAATATAAAGGTAATTGACAACTTGAACGAAAAAACTCAAAGGGATTTTTCAAAACAATACATTAAAACATCATTTGATGTTGAGAATTGTGACACCCTCCCCTGTATGCATCCAAGGGAGTTGTCTACTAAGCGGATTAGAGTCGCAATGTTAGCGAATAAGCTCTAAAAGTTTGTTTTACGTCTCATTAAAATTTCGTGTTCCAATCTGGCCCAAAAATAATTAAAACCGTGGGAAACTTAATAAAATACATGGCTTGCTGAAAGTGTTATTTTTCTGAAAACCGGTCTGTCTTGCAAAAATCTTGATAAATCGAGCTTGCAAAATTTCATTGTAAAGTTTATAAATCTGAAACTAGACATGTGGGGCTTCGCGTGCATAAAAATTATGCACAAATCGAAGGTCTGTAGCCCCACGAAACATAACTCGCAAAGTGCTCGTTAAATCTGTTTATAAATCAGCACTTGAAACGTTCAAAAATCATTTTTCGCAAAACATGACTAGAATCACACGAATTACCAGTTGACCATAAAATCTTAAAAACAGCAATTAAAACATGTTTCAACAGCAGTCCAATCTTCCAAAATATTACATCAAAATATCATAATCAGCCAATACTCATGAGACAAAGCAGACAGCAGTAAAAATCCCAAACAGCAGCAGTAAACAGCAAATATCCAAATACAACGTCATCATATGCTTTTTCGTCCTCCTGCAATTTTATAAAAATTGAGCCCCAAAAGGGGTGAGAAAAATTCCAGTAGTGTGATAGCAAAACCAGTAATGCAACAGTACTAACTAGATACAGAATTACAAAGCAGTCGCATCATCAATTTAATCAGCCAAATACTAATAATAATCATAGTGCGTATATAACGCCAAAGGAGTACGTTCATAGCACTATAGTGCACGTACTAACAAGCACAGTGGAGATTCCATAGTGGCTCCTCAAGAGGATTCCAACTGCGACCTATGCGGACTGAAGCCAAGTGTCCCATACCCTGGTACCGGAGGGATGCCTATATGATGCGTGCTCAAACGTATGCTTACTTTTCATAATTATTTTCAGAATTCAGCATGAAATTTATGCATGTATGCTATGATATGGTCCGCATAAAACAAACAGCTAAAATTATTATATGTGTATGCATGACTAGGTAATAATCAAGATAGCATTTATCCCATGGATTTCCAATATCAAGATGCTGAATAACAATTATTTTCCAACACAAAATATCCAGCATGTCATGTCCAAGGGCAGAGTATAACGAACATAAAACAGAATGCGAATCCAAAGCATATGAGAGCAACAATTCACAATCCCATAAACTAGCTAGTAGTCACAAAAGGTAATGCCACCTAACACTTACCTCGCGTGCCACGAATAATTATCAAACAGTAGCGAAATAGTCCACAATCTTAGGGGTTTCGTGCACCTAATGTACCAATGCACCAAATCAGAATTTCATACAATTATTTCTATAAGTCACAAATAATTTCTAGGCTTCTAATCTTTGTCCCTTAGTCGAATTATCATACTTATAAAGCCAATTATTTTTCTGCCCTAAGCGTAAATCATCAATAGTTAGCAACTAGAATTTCCCAAGGTTCACAATCGGTTTCCATGGTCTTCAAAATGTATTTATTTTCTGCCCTCTTATTGATTTTTAACAACATGCACAGCGAAAAAATCTAAAGTCTCACCTATGCAGATTCGGTTTTCTAACAGTAACAGGGTGTTCAGAATTTCCAGTCACATACCAACTCCACTAATATTAAGGTGCGCTAATGAGAGCCTACAACATGTTGTACATTCATTTTAACTCAAGTAAAGCTTGAGGCACAATAGGTCCAACCAAAACAGAATCGGTTTCATCATTAAAATACATTAAGGATTTTTTTTATTCAAAGTTTCAACCTAACTACCTATGGTGCGCTACACATGGACCTAAAGCATGCTGTCAACTTAATTTAGTTCAAGTAAATTGATACAGTGGCATATTCATCACTAGGTATCTCCTTTTAATTTAACATAACGACAGCTCACTATGGGGGTCTTTATTCCAAGCTCCAAATCGGTTCAAAATGGCAGAATTAAGGAAAATAAAAATAACAAAAATCTTTCTTTCCTTAAGCCCTAAAGTCGAACAACCAAAGCACAAAGAGATTTAAGGTCACTTACGATTCCTTGTCCACACTCAAAACCCCAACTCGAACAAACAGCAAGCTTCCACCCTCCAATGTTCAAAAGCTCAATCCTAGCAACTTATAATGGAGGAGGTGACTTCACCAAAGCAGAACCTTGCGCATGCAAACAGAGAATAATCCAATGAGGACCGATTTGTGAGTAGGAAGAGATAAGGGGAACAGCAAACAACTCACCTCCTTGAATGCTAGTGCACAGCTGAACAAAGTATAAAGGGAAGAGTGTGATTAGATGAAAGTTAAATTGACCTTGAAGGCCGAAGCATGTGAGAGGGAAAAACAAAAATTTTCATGCGAAATCACACATGCAATCAAGACTCATGCTTTAAGACAACATGATGTTACCTTTGTTTGTGATTCAAACACCAAGGAGATCAGTGTAAGGTTTGAAGGGTTCAAACCCTCTAACGTTGATCCACACCACCCACGTCAAGATGCAAGAACTCTTCTTGAAAAGCCACCAATTAATCACCACAAAAGCTTGCTAGGCGTCCAATGTGTGAAGGAGGAGGCTAGGTTAAGGTGTTTAGAAGAGTGAAATTTTCAGCTTAAAACTCCACAAAAGTGGCGTATGGATTTGATGATATATGGCTAGGTTATTTTTCAAAACCTCTTAAGAAAAACCTAACAAAAGGATGACAAAGGAGATGAGAGAACTATCAAAATTGGATCAGATTTTTCTCTAAAAATCTGACCATAAGTAGCGCACAATAGAGAGGAAAAATGGAGTTGTTGCAAAATCAAATCTTGCCAACAACCTCCTATCATATCCTCATGATATCAAGTCAATATCTTAACAAAAATCTGACTTAACAAACATCATATGGCAAGCCATATGGTGCGCCCAATTCAGCCCCAATAACAGTCCAGATACGTTGTGTAGTTGCATTCAAATTTGAACCAACTAGCTCACTGATTCTCTCAACAAACCAAATCTGATTTGGAGCTTATTTGGTTGACAAGATGACACTCACAACAACCAAAGTGGCGCCCCAAATTCAGCCTTGGATGTGATCAAAGATCTCCTCTCGATACTAGGGATTTGTTCCAACAAGATCTTATCTTATCCTTTTGTTATGAAACAACTTTTCATAGCCAATTCAAATTCGAATTCAAACATTTAAATTCAAACGTTCAAACATTTAAATTCACAATTCAACTTCTAAATTTAAATTCTAAATTCAAAATTCAAATTCTAAA